AGAGTCAACAAAGATTTCATTTTTACGACTTCAACAAAGAACCAGTCCATATTTTTCACCATTGAAAGAAATGGATCTCAGCAAAAATTGAAGACCATCGGGTTATTACCTTCGGGTACTTTAAATAAAAATTAATGACATATGATAATCTTTTGCAGGTTTAAAACTTGTCAAAGAGAGGGTAAACCAATCAACATTTTCAGTGGAGAGTTTATAATGAGAAGAACTCATCTGATGAGGGAGAATAAGTTTATAATGAGAAGAACTTGTTCAACCTTAGCTCGTTTCCATCACATAAGAACTTAGAACATCACCAATACTTGGCTCATCCATCGTATATGGAGTTGGATCAACATCATCAATTTGTTCAATTCCATCACAAAATGAGGTGGATCAACATTTCCAGTGGAGAGTTCATAATGAGAAGAACTCATCCGATGAGGGAGAAGAAGTTCATAATGAGAAGAACTTATTCAACCTTAGCTCGATTCTATCACATAAGGAGTTAGAACATCACCGAATTTTGCTTGTCCTTTACATAAGGAGTTGGATCGGCACCAACCCTATGATTGATTCCATTACATAAGGAGTTGGATCAACGTTTTCGAGATAATAAGTTCATAATGAGAAGAATTTTTTTCAACACTTTGCTCGTCCATCACATAAGAAATTGGGTCAATATCATCTCAGGTCTACCATCGCAGAAGGAGTTAGGTCAACGTTTCTGAGAGAATAAGTTCATAATGAGAATAACTTGTTCAATCACTTCTTATCCATCACAGAAGGAGGTGATTTACATCCCCAACAAAGAGTTTGCAGTTTGACAAGCAGTGATCACATTGAAAATTGTGTTTTATGTCTTTGCTCTATTCCAGTTCCACTGCAATGAAAAAAGGAGCAATTGTAATCACCATTTTTCAACTCTCATGTATATTATTATTATTATTATATTACATATTATTATTATTATTGTTATTACAAATAAATATTGCTACTACTATTATTTATTTATTTATTACAAACTCATTTACACTACCCAAACCGTACAAAAAAAACCGAGCTCATTACCCAAATAATACAAACCTGAGCCTAAATTAAACACTAGCCTAATCTAATCCTAACCCTAAGAATGCCTCTTCAGCTGCCGCAGCCGAAGTCGCTGCCCGTCATCTATAGTGCCGGCCATTTTCACTGTTCCATCATCATCATCTTAGCAACACAACAAAAAGTAAATCATATCAAATCCAATAAAACCCTAAAAATTTTGGGGCATTAAAAGGATTAAAATCATCACACACAGTGATGGCAGTAGATTAGGTTGATTTTTTTAATTTTTTTATCTATGTAAAATCGGGTATAAGAACCAAGAGAATCATCATGTAAGAGGATATGGCTCCCTTCATTTTCGAAGCAATACAAAACCAAATTTTTAAGGTAAAAAAGCTTTCTTTTTTTCTCAGTTTTGAATACAAAAATATGCATATATATTTACGAAAAATGGGAGGAAATTGATTAGTTACCTGAGAGGAGAAACCGAAGGGTCGGTTCATCTCCACGACGGCCGGAGCTAAGGAAACCGAAGCATCTAGGGATTTTTTGGGGTCTATAGAAGTTATATTTGGTTATTTAGACTTTAGATATGGTTTTAGGGGAGTAGATTGAAGCAAGTGGGGTCTCTTGGGTTAGGTTTAGGAGCTCCAACCACTGTGTGTGGTGGCCGGAGCAGCGGTCAAGGCGGAGGCTGAGGGTTTAGCGAAATGGTCGGTTAGGAAAAAGAGGAGAGTTGAGAGAAAATGGAGATTTTTTTGGGGGATAGGTTACAAATGAACAAAAAAAATAGAAAAGTGGCTTTTATAGTATAAGTTTAGGGTTATTTGCACTTAGATCCCCCTACATTTACCGTGTTTTTACAAAATAGTCACATGTTCGTCCTTTTTTATTATTCTGTTTAAATGCATGTACTTAGGTTGTAATTTTACATTTATGCATTAATTAATTATGCTGGTTTAAATTTATGGGTTATTTATGTTGAGATCCCCCTACTTTATTCGTTAATTTACATTATGGTCACTAATTTCATGCTTGTTTATTTTATTTTGATTTTAATTTCCTAATAGTGCTATTTCGCCATTTTTAATTTTATTGAGTGTATTATGGCTACAAAAGGAAGAATTGCACTTTAATCCCTCTACTTTACTTGTGTTTTTGTATTTTGGTCACCTGCAGTGATTGTTTTAATTTTATTTTAATCCTACTAGTTTGATCTGTAATTTTTGCATTTGTGTTTATTAGTGCATATTGGACTTATAAAAAATGGAAAATTGCTCTTAGATCCCCTTAGTTTACCCTCATTTTTATCTTTAGGTCACTGCTTTATTTTTGAAATTGCATGCTTAATTTTAAATTATTTTAGTTTGTCTCTTTTCTGAACTTGTAGGGTTATTTTTAACTTAGTCCATGAATTATTCTGCATGTTTTAATTTATCCCCTAGATCAATTTTTGATGATTAATTTAATAGTAATTTGGTTTATTAAATTAAATTCAATTTTTTTTAGTTATTCATTAGTTTTTATTAATTTGTATTGTTAATTTTAGTGCATTTAATTTTTTTTATTATGTATACTTTTTAATTTCTTTTTTAATTTATTTTGATGCTTTTAGTTTATACTATTTAAATTTAAATTTTTAATTTATTAAATTTTGAAATCAGACCTTAGATTTAGATCTCCCACACCTAGACTCTGAATTAGGGAATAATTCGATTTTAGTTCTCGCTTTTAGATGCTCGAGGGCTCATTTCGATTATTCGATTAAAAAAAAGGTAATTAGCTTAATAATTAGAGTTTTAACCTTAGTCTTTTCAAACTATAGTCCTTGAACTTCTAATTATTGGTTGATCATAATTAATTAGGATTTTTAATAAGAGCCTCCATTTTAGATAGAGCCACACTTAGTCTTTAAATTAGGAAAAAATCTATATTGACATCCGCATTTAATATGCTCGAAAGATCAGTTCAATTATTCTACTAAATAATTGGTAAAAATCAATTAGGGTTAATATTAGAGCCTCCATTTTTAGGTCTAAACCTATAGGCTCTCATAAGCTTCATAATTTGACACTTTATGTTAGAGGAAGCCTTAATTAATTACCTAGCATAATTAGGTAGACATAATTGATTATTTGATTGCATTTTTCACCACTAATGCAATGTTGATTTACCAAGGTATCAATGGTATATCTCCCGCAAGTATGCTCAGGGGGTGACTATTAGTGATTCCCGAAATAGGTCGACATTCTTTTCAAGACGTATCATGATTTCTAAAATATCGAGGCAATGTCCGGTTATTGGGCACAATAGCTGATCTCCTGCATTCATGCTAAGGGGAATGCTATTGGCTTTAATAAATGAATACACTTTTCAACTTTGCATCCCTAATGATTTTTAAATTAGATAAAGTTTCGAACTCAAAATTTTTTATTCTAATATAGGGTAATCAATTAGGTACCAATTTTTTGACGTTGTGGGGGTGCTAATCCTTCTCCATGCGTAACCGACTCCCGAACCTATTTTTTGTTTTTATAGACCCCAAACTTGGTATTTTGATAAAAATAAAATGTTTTATTAAAATCACCCGATTTTTATGTTGCCCCAATCGCACCTTAAAATGATTGATGACGACTCCTCACTTTTCAAAACCTTCTCAAATAAAAACCTCCTAAGTTGTACAGATTTTTCCTCGTCCGGACGAAAAACGGTGTCGACATTTCCATCACAAGCATTCCATTCTTAATTCCTTCTATTTTTCTTTCATAAGCAAATATTTATCGCTATATAATGATACGATCGATATAAACTGTTAATAAGAAATCTCATATTTGAACCTTAAAAATGACATTATTACGAGGAATGTGTGTTTCTTCTTGTGAAACATGTATAGACTCATCCTGATTAATTAATGTCGGATAAGGTGTTACTTTCACTAATGATTCATTATAATTAGCCAAATTATTGACATCTCAGCATATTGTATATCAACGCCGACAAATACTAATTATGAACTAAAATGTAATTAAGATTGTGGGCGTAGTGTAATAGTAGCCAAATTCGTAAAGTTAGATTATGCTAATCATTCGGAAGATGGCAACAAATTTAGTATAATTATACCCTCTTCATTATCTAGTGGCTCAAATGTTGGTATAAAGGATTGCAAATTTGTATTAGGAGAAGAAAATTGAAGAAAAAAAATACAACTTGATAAAAGAATAAACCTTGCCCAAGAAAGTTGTGTGATGTGGTTAGGATTTTCCTATAAGAGGAATGATAATTATGAATCAATGATAGTATATATTTAGCACGTAATGTATTATTTTCATCTATTTATATATATTATCCTGTTCGCTCCATATTTAATAGTTTTTTTTGTTTTTACCATAATTAATAGGTATTATTGTACTAGTTCAATTGGCAATGTTAGCATAACGGGATTCGAGGCTAGTGCGACAAATAGTAGTGTATATATATATATATATATGATATTTTTAAAAACTATTTTTTAAATTAATAAAGACAATTAATTTCATTAAATAAATAAATAGAAAATACTATAAATTATAATTTGAAAAAAAACTTATAAAATTAAAGTAGACTAATTTTATTAACCAATTATTTAAAAAAAAACATCAAAGAGCACAAACTCACTAGTTACTAAATAATGAAAGTATAATTGTAGACACTGAATTTTATCCAGAATATTTTTATTTTTATTTTCCCCTACTGTTATTTTGTTTTATTGTCATTATTATAGCTAAGCAGGATATAGTTAATTTCACCACATTATTAATCAAAATTAATATTACATTGGGGTTTTGTTGCAATGAATATAGTATGGTGAATATTATAATTATTAATAATTAAGGGTTATAATTATTATATGTACATACATATATATATTTATTTTAAGTTCCGGTTTGGCTAAATGATTAAGTGCATAATTAATACATTAATAAAATACTTTTATTTTATTTATTTATTATTTTACAGATCAAATGTACAAAGCCTAGGATACCAGGGCAATTGGAGCAGCATGTTCGGTTTGGGCCCAGACTCGTCAGATCAGCTAGCTCAGTAGGAGTGAAGTCTGTTTGAGAGCCCAAACCCGCTAGGGTTTTTTGCCTAGCGTCGTACAAACATGAGATGTTAGATATGGGGATGATCTAACGACATAGATCAACCAATGATTAGGGTTTTTAAACCCTTCTCTTCGCAGCCACTCCCCATCTAACGGATGGATGCAACCCGAATTAGGGCTTCCCTTGCTGTCACGAGCTCGTCGCCGTCACGTGTCCTTCCAACTCCCATGCGCATGCCAGGTCGGTTTCCCTGAGGCCCCCAGTCGTCCTGCCACCACAACATACCCTGCTGCCACCAAATCCCTGCCAAGTCCTTACCCGTGCCCATATCGCCATCCTGAACTCACCATGCCCTATCACCATAGTTCCCCTCTCCTCGTCAACTAACCAAATCACCATATATCAACAAAAAAAGGGAACTGATAACAAACATCATCAACAAAAAAAAGTAACCATTAACCTAAAAACAGAGACCATTTTCGGCCAAAAAAACAGAAAACTGAGAGGGAGAGGAGAACTCACCTACCTCGACGCTCGCCGGTTATCTCAAGGGTTGTCGGGGTCAAAGAAACCGAAGAGATCCCCTTAGATTTACGGCGTTTGAGGCACTTTTGGGCTAATCGGAGCCTGAATCCTTATTCAGTATATGAGAATACTTTATTTGGTGGTTTTCTTTCTCCTTCTCTTCGCCGATGAACGGTGATCGGTGTCGACCGGCGCCTTCTTCGGCGGTGGCCGCGTCGAGAGGGTTGAGAGATTTTGCTATCTCTCTCTTAGGCCAAAAGAAAAGAAGAAAATGAGGGATGAGGGACGGTTTTTGGCCTTGTTTCGTGCATATATGTGATCCACGAAATGACACCATTTGGAAAGGGGGTCAGAGCGCTTGGGTTAATAGCTCACCAAATCCTTCCAAGTTTATAAATTTGCAATTTGATCACTAAATGTAATTTTTACATATTTCGTTCTAAGTTTTGAATTTTGTTATGTTTATGTTTTGGTCATTATCTTTGTTTTAAGTTAAATGTTTAATCATGTCTATCTTTTTTCATTGCATTCTATTTTAGCCTTTTACCCTACTGTATGTACAAATGGTTATTTATGCTCCAGGTACTTAAGGCTGGCCTTGTATGCAATTTTAGTCATTGTTTAGATTTAGTTTAATTTATTTGCATGTTTGGATCTTGTTATCTCTATTAGGTTTGATTTAAACCTTATTTTAACTTACATATTGATTGTTTTGATCTCTGTAATATTCTGGTTTTTAAGATCTTTGTGTTTATTATAGCATGTTACTATGTAACATGTACGCACATATTTATTTAATAGATATTTTAATATTATCGCAAACTTTGATTAGTTTATGATGTAGTCGCTAAATCTACAAACACTTATTTGTTCAATATTGATAATCTATTTTTTATATACTCAAAATCACTTTCGAAAACCTTTGTCGTAGAATGGGCGTCGAAAGCACTACTTTATAGAAGAAGTGTGATTCAAGATGCCATTCAAATGAAATGGGAACGGTACACCTAATTTAGGGGCTAAAAATTAAGAAATTATAAAGTATTGGATTTAATTGGTATTTTGGAAGAAAATGAGGATTAAATTGTAAAATTTTAAAGTTGACAGACCATTTTAGGAAGTACAAGAAATTCAGTGACTAAACTCATAGTTTAATCATTTTTATTTTGGAGAGAATTATAACTCCCCATTCTTGTATGTTTCTGCAAAATTATCCCATTTCCACTCCGTTGACCCTCTTTTCCACTCCGATCTACTCACCGTATGATCACCGTTTGACGAACCGAAACTAATATCGTGTTCATTGTCGACCGATGAACAAAACTCCTCAAACCTCTCGTTGTAAATCGACGTCGTTCGTCGTTAATTTCAATCGAAAGTATCATCGGTTTTAACTTAATTTATGTTGGCTTTCTGTCGATTCAGGTCATTTTCGGTCATCCGTTTTCGACAACTTCCGCACCATCGTGTTCCTTGTATCGTTCCGAGTCCACCGATGTCCTCCGTGTCTTTCGTCGCCAGCGTGTGGAGGGGTAAGAAAGTCAAAGTTTCCAACGTTTCGGAATCGAGCTCACCACCGTTCAAAAATGTGAATCGAGCTTGGTAAGTTTCTTAAAATGCCTTAAAATAATTTTCAAATTTTTTTGGGAATTTTTCGGACACTGGAACACTGTTCACGCGCCCCACGCGCCACCACCTGAGAGTAGGCTTCGTTTGGCACCTTGGTGAACAGTTGAGCCGAGTTGTCGAGTCGAGCCGACTGAGTCAACCTGTGCTGAGTTAACTCGACTGAGTCACTCACTGGGTCAACTCGTTGACTTTGATCGAGTCAACCTGTTAACCGTTGACTTCGAACGGATCAACGTTGACGTTGACTTTGACCAAAAAGTTAAAAAATTTGAAAAGTCATATTTTATATTTTTTGATGTCTTGAGTTCGATTCCGCAGTCCGTTTTGTCAAATTCGGACCCGAAAGCCTCAAAATTGTCAGTCAAACCTGTTGACTTTGACTGGGAAGTCAAAAATTTTGAAAAGTCATATTTTATGTGTTTCGATGTCCTAGATCTGAATCTGAAGTCTGTTTCGTCAAATTCAAACCTGGTAAGCTGTTTTTGACTTATTAATCACTTGATTCGATCCGTTTTTCACAATTAAGCTCCGTTTTTGATTAAATTTGTATTGTTATGTATTTGAGGAATTATTGGAAGATGATTTCAAGATATGGATGTTTGAATGGAATTTAAATGGTCGATCAGTATGGAATGGAAAATCGAGGTAATACATTACTACCTCTTTTATGCTTTATGAAACATGTTGATAATGGATAAATGCATGAATGTATATGATTGGTCTATTATGCCTGTTTGATTATGGATGGATTCGAACCGAATACGGTTTAAGTGATAAATTAGTTAATATTCTATTGAATTACAAGTCATGTGATTAAGTGATAAAGGAATCAGTCCTAAATATATAAATTATAATTTATCTCATTAAAGGTACTTGGATGATAAATTACGAAAATACCCTTATGTTGTAATAAGGACAGGAATTGACTTTGGAAGTTGGATAAGAAATTTTAAAGACATATTGATATTATGAAACTATTGATGTGTATAGAAAATACTAGTTTTGCTTAGGAAATCTAGATAACCGATTTCTAAATCCAAGATGTCTTATACAAGATACTAGAAGTTTTGTTAAGGAATAATTTAAAGTTTAGAGATTATTCGGGAAAATGATTAACCCTAAAATCTTTAAATTATAATTATCCTTGTTAAGAGTTTTAATATTGAAATTATATGGTTAGAAAATTACGAAAATGCCCTTGAGAGGTAAAAATAGTCTGAATTGACCATGAACGAGAAAGTACTTTGAGGATTCGTACTTAACTATTTAAATTACATAATTCATTATTAAGATCCTGTCTTTGTATAGAAAATTAATGATAACCTGTTGTAACATCTGATAAGGCACTTGACCCAAAAATCTATGGGTTATGAATAATAATTTATCGAGGGTGATATTTTGTCAGAATAGTTCGAAGGAACTGGCATAATGATAAGTTTGATTTTAATAATAAGATCGGATGGAATGAATTATTGTAATACATTGGATCTATAAAATGACCAAAATATCCATGGAATGGAAATGATCAAGAATATCACCAAACTCAGGAATGATTGGATATCCTCGAGCTTGAAATTAATGGAATAAAATTTAGCTCCAGAATAACCAAAATACCCTTATGGCCTAGACTAAGTAGATGTTTTGGATTAATTAAGGAATTCAAGTAAATATGGGTGTTGTACTACCCTTAAAAAGTTATGGAAAACAACTTAAGTGAGGCGATCAACCTTAATGATATGTCAGTACCTGAATGGCATAGATATTACTTGAATGTGTGTACGTCTTCTTAAGTTTGGCTCGATGTTAATTTTGGAAGTATTCAGCTCAACTCTAGATCGCATTCAGTACTAAGAATTTGATATTTGTTTGACAAATCAACCATGAATACCAAACTGAACTGAACTGAAGTACAATATGTATCCGAAATTCAGAAAACGTTCGAATTACTCTGGAAAACTCTGAAGTAATCGAGATAGACTTGACTGTTAGATGAAATAAGTAACCTCAATGACTGAGGATAAAATAAGTGATTTGGATGAGTCTGGAAACATTAATGGACATACTTGATGTAATGTTCTTATGGGTCATGAACTACAAATCAAGCACGTCAATATTTCATGATATTGTGGAAGCGTGAAAATGAAATAAAGAGCATTGAAATATCTGTTAGTTTCCTTAAGATCTATTCATCGATGATTCCAAATATGATCTATGGATAAGAATTTTTTGTATTAAAAAATAAATACCTGGAAGAACAATGAATTGACCAGTCGACAAGCATTAGTTCTGGGAGTTATTCATCTGGAGTTGTTTGATAATCCAATCAATCGACATGAATTGTAAAGGTTCTGAATCTTCGTTCTCCCTTATCAACTCAAAATACTCTGGGCATATATGAATACACAAGTAACTCATATGTAAAGGATTCTGAATACCCTTATGATTACGTTGAGCTTCTGAAAAATGTTCGAATAAGATATGATCCTGATAAATCATATTTTGAATAATTGATGGTTCTGTCAGCTAATAAACTCTTCCAACAGTGATTCTAACTTCCGACATTCTATCGGTAAACTGAAGATATGTGTTTATCTGCCCAATAAGATTATCCATATCTCTAATAATATCTGTAAACACTAGTGTTTTCCCTAATTACATGAATGTTTTATCTGATTTCTGATTTAAATTCTATTCTGATTTCTTATCTGAATTTTGTGATTTATGATCTGGATTCTGTTCTGATATATGATATGAATACTGTTTTGATTTCTGATATCTCCGTTTATTGACGAAAAAATGTTTTATTTGGGGGTATTGTTGGAGGAAGTATATATGAAGGCTCCTCGGCTTTGTGCTCAGGGCCTTACTGTTGTGCAGGGGTTGTATGGTTCTGGGGAACCTACACATTATGTTGTGTTCGGTTGAAGGGATTACTATGGTTTTTGATAAATAAAAATATGTTTTTAAAAAGATTTGTATATTTTCACTAGTTTTGAGGGAACACGCTAAATAATCTATTCTGATCTTATGAACCTAGACATCCGAAATATTTCCATCTGAACTGAATACTATTGTTACTACCTGAGATATCAATGGGACCTCAGCTCAGCTAAAAAATCTGTAGATATCTGAACCAATAAGGAAATATATGTTTATATGTATCTGTATCTGCACATTCTTTAGCATCATCTGGTAGTTCTGTATTACTGAGTTTTCCAAAGCTCACTCTGTTACACACCTTTGCAGGTTAAAAGAATTGTACTAGTACAACTATCGACTTCAGTAAGGGAGTTCTTCCGGCGTTGTTATCAGAGTATGTACATGTGATTAGGGGGCATGTAATTGTATTTTGTTTTATATAAATGAGTCTGAAAATCTGTTTTATTTTTTAATAATGATAAATGATTTTATGAGTTTACATGTTTGATAAAAAAAGTTTTAAATTTTTCGCTATTTTTATGGTGGGTCGCTCTAATGGCCCTAATGTGACAACCCAGATCAGATCGGGTTACCCGCATCAGTCTGAGGGGGTACAGGAACTCAAAGTAAATCAACTATATTTTATGGAAAATAATATTAATTTTTTATTTCTTTAATTCTAACTTAAACATTTGCAATATATGCTTCTCTAAATAGTAAATTATTTTATGTAATTACAGGTATAATTTTTTTTTTA